CCTTCCTTCCTTCCTTCCTTCCTTTTGCAAGGTCATCATCGGCTTTTACATTTTACATATCGTTTGAAGGAACCATCCGCGCAAAGTTCACCCTTGAAGTTGTTTCATCCATGCCTTTCCTTTTGATAGAAACGGATGCTGGCCATTTTCACAAGAGTTGATGACAAAGCGTGATGTGACATTTGAAGAGCTGGAGGTCCTTTGGCCAAGAAGTTTTATTTGCGTCATCTGGGCAGAAGAAGAAGAAGGAGAAAAAGAAGAAGGAGAAGGGCAGCTAAAACAAGGCTGGTTTGTGGACTGATCCACTGATTCTCTCTGTGAAGCAGTTGCGTCCTTGCCAAGCTGAGGCCTTGTTTGGATGACGTTCCACCTTGCGGCCAAGCTGTCCGTCGGCTGTTTCCAGACACGAGATCAAGTTTTGCTTTGCAAGCCTCCGTTTTGGGCCATTTAGTGTTTCTGGATAACTGACTTGCTTGCCTTTAGTGCGATTTGTTTGATGTTGAGGAGGCTGCAAGCTCTAGTCACCCATCCCGTAAGGGAGTAGATGTATAGAGGTAGTTTATAGTTTGGTGATTGCATGCAGCTTCTTGCCGCATTCTGAAAAGGTGAGCATGTTACTGTTGCCAGAAATGTATGTGTATGGATGCTTTTTACAAAAAGAAATTTTCAATCAGTTCATACTTTGACTTTGATCCAGCAAAAACAACTGCATACTGGTGCGCATTGGTGGACACTGTACCACGCCGCATCAGGTACGAGCTAATGTGTGTTGACCGCCAACCACTACTCCGGTCGGCGCCAAGAGGCTGGTCTTAGGGTTCCAAAATCTGCGAGGCTTCAACATCTCAAACTGCGAGGCTTCAACACGAGTGTCATCCGACAACAAGCAGTGCCTCCTGAGCTCTATCAGATTCTCTTGAAGCTCTTAAGCAGCGGCCTATGCCAACTCAACAGCCTTCAGATGCTTTGCAGTAGGAGTTTGAATCAGTTTGAAAGTTTGAATGCTAGGAACAAGTTAGGGAACAAGTTAAGAAGCAGTCCTTCAGGTCCAAATCCGTCTGAGAGGCTTACTATTGCAGTCGTGGCCCAACATTTACGCGGGTCACACCTTTTGTAATAGACTTGTCAAGTCAAGGCCTTCATCAATTCCGAATTCTTTATGGATGTCAATGTCCGAAGCTTGGAGTTGCTTTGCTTTTTGTTTTGCTTTGCTCCGCTTTGCTTTGTCAAAAGGGAACTGGTCCAGCTAGCAAATGCCAAAGTTTCAGGTGCGAGCGATTCGCTTCTTGGAACAGCTGAATGAGAAAGATGAGGCAAGGTGCCAAAAAGCGTGAGCCTTTGACCTCTAAGTCTTCAGCCAGTTTGGGGTGGATTTTGCTCGGATGCGCAACACCTGCTAGACACAGCGAGTCACTTTCCTTCGTGGACTGCCGAAGCTACTCCAGGATTGGGTTGAGTACTCTCTCTCTCTCTCTCTATGGATTCAGGATTGAACGCAAAGATGACACAGCTCCAGGACACAAAAAGCCCGCTGTGCAGCCAAAGAGTCATGCGTGAAAGAGCCTTCTGCCAAGTTTTCGCGGCCTCTATTGAGCACTCGTTGACGAGGAGAAGCACAGGATTACCCGCTTTTTCCTTTTTTGCCGAGGTTTTACCTCGACTTTGTGGACTGGCACTTAAGAGCCGCAGAGATGTGTACAGTATATTCAGTGCCACTGTCATGTCTGAGTAGTGGTTGGAGAATGTGTTTTGCCTTGTGGCCTGTGCCAGCGCTACGTAGCCCTTTTGAAGAGCCTCAGCTGAGCAAGACAGTTCACTGAAATCCATGTTCACACACACAGACAAAGAGGGATAAAAACACGACTCAGATCGAGCCACCACCACATTTAAGATCTTCTATGTCTCACCATATACATCAAGCAATACACAATCCTGACGCTGTTGCAGTGCCGTAGAAGCACTTCCCAGCTATTTTCGTGAAAGGATTGAGATCATTCCAGCGTGTCCCTGGACACTCTGATCCCTTGGTCATATCAGCAACGGATGAATGAAAGAGCGCGAATCTCAAAACACAGAGCTTGCAGATTCTCTTGCGCTCTGAGCGTGCACTCAAGGCATGGAGGCGAAAGGGAAGATGACAAAGTAAAGCTCTGTGCTCAGAAACAGGTTGAGCAAGCTATGGAAGGATGGTTGAACGAGTTTGAACCTGGCTTCAGAGATCACAGGCAGAGGCAAGCTGCAGAAGTCTTCCGGCAAGGACAACAGCAGCTCCGAAAGGCTCAGGCTGGGCCTCCATCTCTGGACTTTGGGGGAATTGAAATTCAGTCCTTTGGAGGCCTCCGTGGGTGATCAGGCGTAGCAGCGCTGCCATAGCTTGTTTTTTGTTTGGAGATCGTTGGAGCAAGATAGACCTGAGTGTCTAACAGAGTCACATTCGCTGGTAGGCTCTGGCTGAGTATGAGAGCTGCGCACAACTCTTCTCAGAGGCATCATTGGGGTCAAGGGTTAGAGTATGGGATCCATCACTTTTGGCAAACAGGGTGAGACAGAGAGATCAGTTGAAGAGATATATAGAGAGATAGAGAGATTGTCAAGCAGATGTGGCTAGATGTACCAAGATGATAAGTAGATGTGGATACATGTGTATAGAGTGTAGACAGGTCATTGGATGGCTAGTCTGACGAATGGGTGGCTGTATAGGTGGGTTGATAAAGGGGGAGAGAGAGTTAGAAAGATGGCGAGTTTGAGAAATAGAGAGTCAGAGAGATAAAGGGATAGAGAGAGAGAGAAGTAGTAGTGAATAGACAGAAAGAGATCCTTCCATAGTGGTTTCTCTTTGGATGTATATAGGAACATGATAAGGAGATGTGGATAGATGTGTGATGCGTGTAAAGTGTAGATAGGTCGGATGGACGGCTACTTGGACGAATGGTTGGGTCGATTGGTGGCTGGATAAAAGGGGGGACATATATTATTAGAGATAGTGAGATGGAGAGATGGAGAGCTAGAGAGATAGAGGGGTAGAGAGATAGAGAGAGGAGCAGTGGGTGGATAGATAGATAGATAGATAGAGATGCAGAAATAGATACTGATGTAGAGAGATAACGAAAGCCAGCCGAAGGCTAGGCTGTATAACGAAGGTTGAGCGGCGAGCGGTGTTTTGGATAGTTTGGTGGGACAACAGTTTCAAAAGCGGTGTTTTTTCACGCAGAGGTTGGTGAAGCCCTGTAAATAGCAGTGTTTCTGGAAGAATTGAGTAGAAAAAGGGCTTTTGCAGCTGCTTGAGATGAATTGTCCATGCGACTATGGAAAGATGCTGTGATTTACAGTGTTTTTGTGCTTATGTGCGAAAGAGGCCAAAACCCGAGCGGTGTTTCTGCAGTCCAATGGCAGAGATGAGCAAGGATGAAAAGAACATGAAAGAATCAAGCTGTAGCAGCCAGCACCAATGAACAAATGCGTGAAGGCACAAACTGGTTACGAAGACGATGAAACATGCAGGGGTAGTGTTGCTCTTGCTCAAAGCTAGGCCGCAGGCTTTTTCAGGGTGAGCCCAAATCCTCCTGGGGAGGGCTGGCTGTCGCCCCCTCACTTCTCAGGTTTTACCTCTTGCCGTCCTTTCCAAATTCCTGTTGATTGCTGGAGTACTTGTCAGGCCATTTCTCTTCGTCCCAATCATGCACAGTACTACCAAGCCGGCTTGGCATGATTGAGACAATAGAGAACTGAGAGAACGGAGACATTCACCTCATAGCAGTATTTGTGGAACGATCGCAGGCTCGAGGTAGATGTTTCCTTGCAGTGCAACAGTGCCCTAATGGACTTTGTGCAGAAACTTGCCTACTAGCTGAATCCATCGCAGGTACTCACGGGCACTTGCGGACTTTGGAATGTGCTGCCGGTTGGACGAGCACACTGCTAGACATTTTGGCCATCGCGGCCTCTGCTTCAGACGATTAGGCCGTGTGGAGGACTGATGCATCCAACATTTCTCTTTGGGACGGACATGAAAGATCTGTTCAAGATATGAAAGTTTCTAGGAAGCTCTGCGAGATTATGATGAAGCTCTTCGTCCTTGCCTTAAACGCTTGGGCTGAATAGTTCAGATTGCTGCAAATCTTTGATGCTGCCAATGTTGCCTAGGTTTGGAGAGGGCAAAAGCAGAGAAAGACCCATCGGAAACTCACCAGCGACAGGTAGCAAGAGTCTTGACCAGTCTTGACGCTACATACTCGTTTTGATTCGCTCTTAATGCTCAAGATGGACAGCAACCTTTTTGGTATTGGAGGCGGCGGAATACTACTTCGAGCGGGCGTATTGTACTTATATACGGCTTTCCGTTTGTTTGGTTTGTTGTGGGCTGCTGCAATGTGATCCAATCCCGAGTTTGGTGCACATCGATCTCGAGCAGTATGACAAAGCGATTGAAGGCTTCACGCAGGCACGGTGGCCTCAGGTTTTGACTCACGTATATCATCATACATTGTTATGTATGTAGTTTTAACGAAAGGACAGCAACAACAATAAGTTGCTTACAGAGTCCAAGATTTCTCTTTTTCCTGGCCTCAAGCAGGGGTGGCTGAGTGCTGCAGGCACTGCAGACCAACAGTTGCAATTTGTAGTCAGTTCTTTCTGCGGGATATTGGCAGTTGTATCAATTCTGTATGGATGCTTGGGCAGAGTGGGGACACTTCTTTGAACACTAGCGCAGCAGAAGAATAAGAGAAGAAGATGCGCAGTGCTTCGGCGTTTGATGTTGGCTCCTTTCGGATAAGGGCACAAACTTTTTTGCCCAAGGCTCTCCTCAGTGGCCTGCCGTGTTCACATAGCAAATGCAATACACTGACCAGACAAAAGTTGCGCTTCTTGATGTTGAACATGATTGCAATCCTTTTACTCTGGATTCCTACATCCCGTCAACTTACGTAGGACGTGGGCCTTTTCGAGTGGCAACAGACCACAGTTTCCGTCATGCCCTTCCCTGTGTGCTCAGGGGTGGTCCCAAGCATTTCTTGTGTGGGTACAAGTAAGAAGATACAGTGTGCAGAGGTTCACGATAATTGCATGCCTTTCACACGTGAGAGAGTTCTTGCGAACATGGGAGGCTTCACTTCTTTTGCAAACTGCTGTAGCTGACAGCGTAAAGCTAGTGACGTCCCTGAAGCCAGTGCATCCGGTCAAGCTTCGACCCCCCTTTGAACCGTAAAAAACCAATCAGCCAAAAACATATGGGACACGTGTGCAAGCAGCACTACGGGTGAGAAGCAGACAAAATACAGCTTGTTTATTTTGATGGTCAGCACAGCATGGAGGTCTTTTAGCATGTCCACAACACGTGGGGTTGAGGCCATGTGACACTTGCAACCTTGAGGCATTGGAGAAGCGTTTGGCAACGCCGTACAAGGCATGGTGATTTGGAGTTATGCCCATACTATTTGTGTAAAGGAAAGAGGTACTGCCTCACAATCAGTTTTGCACCCTGTGTCGAAAGGCCTTTTTTCACCGTGGGATTTGCTACCGCAGAGTCCATTGCTTTGCCATAGTTCAGTATACTTTTTGCACAAGGGCTGTGAGCATGCTTAGGTTGGACACATTTCAGAGTCGATACAGAATCTGAAGGAAGCGATTAACTTGGACACGGTCCCACCCTTACGCAATAGTTTCAAGGATTGGCTCCGCAATTGAAGTCGCGGTGTGGCAATGACAGAGGGACAATTTGTTGTTGGAATGTGTCCTGAGACCAGTGCGGAAGCTCACAATCATCTTGGACTGTCTCACATCAAAGAGCAAAACTTTGATCTGACCTCAGTCTGCTTTCTAAATATGTTCAGCGCAACTTTGTTGTTTGCCGGTGAAGGAAGAAGCCAGGAAATGCTTTGCAAACGCCGTCGAGCTGGATCCTTGTTCAAGGCCGGCTGTACTTGGCCTGCGAGGTCCAAAGTGCACAGTGATGACATCAGTATTGTCAAAAACAAAGCGTAGCCATCATCTGAGAATGGTGGCATGCTTGCACGTGGCGAAGAAAAAGAAGAACATGAAGACAAATAAAAGGAACAACAAGAAGAACAAGAGAAGAGTCCTTCGTTTGCAGCGTGTCCTGCCTGCAACGGGAAGCATCGTGCAAATACATATAAACATGGTTGGAAAAAGGCCAAGTCATCCGATACTACGGACTATTAGAAAGTCAATACATCCGACACTCCGGATGAGAACAAGGCACCGGAGAAGAATAAGAAGAAGAAGGATCAGGAAGAGAAGTAGTTCTTTTGTGGAGCAAAGGTGTCGCACTTAAGGCCAAGAAGGCCGCTTCACTGTAGTGACACACAAGTCGTTTTGCAGCATTGCAGTGCAACTCTTACCATCAATTCGATGGTATCAATTGTACAAGTATCTATGCAAGCAGTGCAATTGATGCAAGCTGCATCACTGGGGTCATTATAGTCCACACTGGCACTTGTGACTGGGAGGCCCAACATTTACAAATCACCACAGATCGACAACATCTCTGCAGACCACCACACATCAGAACAAGTCCGAGATCACTATTTTGAATCATGACAAATCACAGAAGACAGTCACAAATTATCATATATATATATAATATCATTGTATACAATACAAATTATGCCAGTTGCCACAGATCACCTCAGAGGAGTACCCTTATATATCTGATTTCTCACCACTTAGCTGGCTCAATTTTCGCCTACCAGCCCTTGAGAAACCACATGGCTTATTGTGACCAAACTTCACCGGTTTAGCACTTAGCTAGCTCAACAACAACAAACATCTTCCCACTTGGCTGAAATGGGGCTACTTTACATAGCTAGCCAAACAAAGAGGAAGCTCATCAAACTTTTCTGAGTGCACCATTTGCTTGCGCATCACTTTTCTGACGTCTGACTACCCACTTAATAAGCGCAACAGCTTCCTCAGCAATGAAAGACCCACCACTTAAGCAGCTAGCACCACTTCGATGGCTCCACAACTAGCCAGGACCATGTGTACCTTTGCAACAGGTAGATGATCCAACAAAGTCCACCCTGTTTTTCTCCTCATTTTGCGGTTATAACTTTTGACTCCTCTTAGATTAATCGCCGCAAGGAAAATTTCCCACGAGTCCGTGAACAATACTTCATGATTTTGGGTGTGCCAATGGCAATAATGCGGCTAGATCTTGCAACAATCAGCACCCATTTGGCAAATTGGCAAACTTCAAATTGGCCCCAGCTCTCAGTTTTTCTTCATCAAGTCAGCCCTTGAACTTATGAATCTGCAGGGCCCCAAGCTCCATGTCTAGAGCTCCTCATCGGCTCATTGTGCGTTCATGGTATGAACATTGTTTCTCTTTTTTTTTGGTGAGGATTGGGTCCATCGCTCTCTTGATCATGTCCCCATCAAGACATGGAAATTGGCGATCTGGCCTTCCTTCTTCATGTCATATGAACTCCCACAAGCAAGACAAAACGGGCATTCAGGAAACCGTGCTACGGAATGGTTTGCTAAACTACATGGCTCTTCATTTGATTTGAGACATAAGACCACAACATTGGTCGTCTCGACCCATCAGTGACAGTGTGGTCCCTCTTCTCTTCCTAAAGTCTTTGCCATCATCCTTCATCGCTTTGGCCCCATTCATACAGGTAGATCAATCTCATTTTCAACATCGGATTCTTCCAAGTCCGTGTCACTGTCAATGTTGTCATTGCTCAAGTATGGACGTTCCGGAATCATTCCCAAGAGTCTGAGCATACTCAGTGATTCTGGCATACGCAGAGCGACGCAGGGTCAAACTTTGCCTTGGTGGTGTAGCATAGATCATGTCTTTCAGAGTTTTCATCACTGACAAAGACGCAAACATTCCAGCCAAAGAAAGCAGAAAAAACACCACCAGAGTGTTGAACATTCCGGCATCTTCTGCTTCTTCAGGGTCACGAGCCTCTGCCGGTGTTTGCAGTGGCCTTTCGCTTGTAGGTGAACATGAAGAAACATTGTTTGTCAAGTTGTCCAGTCTTCTCAATCTCGTCTTTGCATTTTGCTTCATTTTTATCCTTTTTCTGCATCACAGTCAAGTAGGTCACCAACGGGGCTGGAAGCAATCTGATTGGACAGTTGGATCGACCAACAAGGTCTGCCCTGTTTTGCTTCTCATTTTGCTGGGATGGTAACTCCTAATAGCTCAAGCGCCCAAACGAAATAGCCAAGCACATGAAAATTGATTGAACGCAATGAATGCAAATTGCTGTGTCAGTGACAGTCAGGCAAACAGAGTAAGTTTTCCTCAAAGCCTAGCTATCACAAATGAGAGCGCACACTTGAGAGCACTCAAGAGGACAGATCACATATAAAAACACATTTATTGGCCACACAGATGAGGGCAAAGACCTGTGAGCACACCTATGAGAGGCACACATATGAGGAACATGATACAACTCTGCTTGTCATATCCGACTGCTGTCAAATCAAGACTTGACTCTACACACATACATTTCTCAGATAGAGGACTTATCTCAAGGCTGAGGATTAGACTTCTAACATTTGTGACAATAGAAACAAGTGCATCGCTACTAGTAACAAGTGCCTTACTAGTAGTAACAAGAAGCTAGTAGAAACAAGAATTAGAATTAAATTAAATTAACTACTAGCTTCATTTGTGACAATGAATTCAATAGTTGATGTTTTTTCTGAATCTCGACAAGGAACCAGAGTACTCTAGCTACTCTAGCTGGAGTTGCCCTTGATTAAAACAAAAAGGCTATCTCAATGTCAAATGGGTAAACAGCAGCATATGTTGAAACAGCATAAATGAACTTATGCCTAGGCTTGATCTTAGTATTCCAACCATACTAGGGGACTCATCATTTGTATGTTGATACACACACGGGCAAGTGATGTACAGAACGAGTCAAGTTGAACGTCCTCAATTGCTTTGATGGACCAACCTCTCCATATCTAACAAGTTTGCTGTCCACAAAACCGAGAGCGCCAGTGCTTAAGCAAGGATTGCCGAACTTCTCCAACTGTGATTCAAGGTGCTTATTGAAGCAAGCAATATAAGGCAGGGATTAATGGCTTCTCAACAAACAGTTCCAGCAAAATCTTCTGGTGCATCAGTGGGAGGATCCCAAAATACTCCAGATACATATCCTCATCAGTTGCCCTCACACACAGAGATACTCGTACATTTGTGTATGGGTGGTGCAAAATGTATGAAACAAATTCAAGGACCCAAGAGCGAAATGTTAGGTCGTTGGGTCATAGTACAGTAAGTTTCCTTCTACTACAAGGGCTGGATGACAGTTCTGGAGCGACATTCGGACCCAGGATAATGCGCTTTATGCTCCGAGACTATGTTGTCTACATCGGACATCATCCACTAACTCCTTGCAGTAATCTAATGTTAAGTCGATGTCAAGGACAACCCAACACAATGTCACATCCATTCGCGATGCTCCAAACGTGGTTTTCTGGTTGAGGAATAATTTTGAACGCAAAAACACAATTCCATGGACGGTATATGTATATTCAAAGATTCAACGCCATTATCTTCCGGGCAAAGACCTTGTGACCCAACACACATTGAATCCTTTTGCTGTTGAAGAACATCCTTTGGCTCATCAGGTGCAAAACAGATCGACTCTTCATCTTTTATTTAAAAAATAAAACATTAGTGAAAGACACATGCGCATTGCAGGTATCTAAACAATCGTGGTCTGGCTTGCTATCACTTGGAGAAGTGCGACCCTCGTTCTTTCGATAGCTGCATTTCAGGCTGCAAACGTTCTGTCAAAGGTACACGGATGCAGCCGAAGACTTCACGGCAGCCTTGGAGGTGTTTTGGCTTCATGGTTCCCCATCGCAAACATGAAGCGCTTGTGGCCCCGCAGGCTGAGCCGGGAAACGCATCCGCATGGAGACTCAGCAAGGGAACCTTTGCAAGTTGAGGCTGACAACCCTTTTGGTTAAAAAAATTGATCTTGTTTGTGAGGTCCTTTTTAACAGGGGAAATGCTTCTTTTCAACTTGGCTGCCACAGAGACGTGTGCCTGGCGAAAGTGTTGGAACATTCTGTTCGTTGCTATGTGTGTGTGTGTGTATCTGTGCTGTATGTATTTTGGTTACTGCCATGTTTGTTTCTACTTCTTGTTCGGCTTGTGGCCAGGCCTTGGCTGACTATAGCGAGGCTATTCGCCTGGAGCCGGAAAACGCCACTTACCTCCATCACAAGGCACTCCTCCTAAATTTAGTTATTCTCCAGTGATTGTGGTCTAGGTCTACAGGTATGTCCAGGTGGTACTTGTTCTCATAAGTCCCTTGCCAGTGGTCGCATTAAGTCCGCCTGCTCTGCATCTCCACTACTGTCCCTATCCCCGGTTATATACAACAAGGGCTCATGACACTGTCGGACGGGTTCATGTGTGAAGAACAGGTTTCTTGTAACGCTGCCGTTCACCTGCAGCTTTGGTGCTCAAGGCAGAGTTTCCTGCCCAGCGGCTTTTTCCTGACTGGTTGGTGGTGTGCAGAGACGAGTGCTACTGGCACTGGGTACAAAATGAGCCTTGGTAGCAACATGCACCACCACATCACGCAGGAGGTCTCGCACTGTGTGGGAAGGTGGGCTCCAAGCGTGTCATACATTATCGTCGCATTCCGAGAGCTATGTCTCGAGGCTAGGCATCGGGGGCTCGCAAGCAGCGCAAGAGCACCGACAGAGGCCTGGCAGGGACTGACAAGGGCAAGAGCAAAGGCGCTGTCTTTCGGGCTGGGCTGGCCAGCAGACCTCAAGCAGCAAGAAAGGGTCTGGTGCCGCGCTGGCAGAGCGGGGTGCTGGGGCCTCTTACATTCTGGACGCATAAAGAGTTACCGCCAGAGGAAGTCAATATGTCACTTGCAAGCAGCTATACTGGGCATTGAGAGAGTGATGGCCCTCCCAAAGCTTTCGACTGAGCAACGTGTCTTTCGACGGGTAGACGCAGTGGAGGTGCTTCAGCATCGGTCACGGCGCGTGATGTGACTACACCCCCCAACTGCAGAGACCAAACTAACCCAATGAGGACTATTGCAGTCGCCCTTGATTTGCTGGTGGCTGGCCAGGCCCAAGCCCGCGATCGGCCCGTCGTGCGACCACGGGCCCGCGGGTTCGGCGCGTTTGGGATGGTTCCTATTTGGGCGACGGAGTTTTTCAGTTGTGTTAGGTAACTAGATGTCACGCAGTCCAGGTTTCTATGAATTGAGTGAAAGCACCCTATGTCACTAGCATAGATTACCGAAGACGACGCGGGAATCATCGGAGTTTCAATTCCCACCAAAGTTGTGTACAAATTGACATGCCATATTCTGCTCGATTTCATAAATCTTGAAAGATGAATTAAGGGAGCAATGTTTCTGGCGCAGAGGTTTGAGCGCCGGATGTACTCGCAAGCAAAAAGAGAAAGAAATATATAGATGAGAGAACTCCCTGCCCCATTTCGCAGCGCAACGTCAGGATTTCCAATCAAATCTGTGAAGGGGGAGTGGCCGGCTGCGTTCTCAACAGCCTTGCCTTCTGACAAAGCTCCCACAGAGAAGAAGTAGAGATGGAACTGCTAGAGCTTGAGCTAGCCGCGCTAGCCTTTAGCTCAACTCATCTTCAGCTTTCCGCGGCGTAGCCGCGTAGCCGTTCCAAGCGCTGGGTTAGGTTCTTGAGCCGCTGATCTCACAATTTCCAAACAGCCCAAGTTTTGAGGTCTGAAACGAATCGAACTAATGTGATGAGGCTGCGCAACGTTTTGCTTTTTCTCACGAAAAGAAGTTAGACTTTTTCCACATTTAATTTGCCAGTTTATGATGTCGCGCAACGTTATTTTTTGAGAAGTATAACGTACAAGCCATTTTTGCGCGAGGCGCCTCGCCCCAAATCCTGGAAACCCGATTGTTTAGCGTTTTCTTCAAGCAGCTTCTGCGTTCGCGTGAGTGAAAACGTTTACCATTCCAGACAAACACAGGTGTTTCCAATCGGGCAAGAAAGACGCAAGACGACTCATAAGTTGCACTTTTTGTTTCAGGTGTGGCATCATATCCTTGCAAAACCCAAGTCTTTCTTCCAACCAAAGCATACGTAACTGATTTGACTCAGAGCAGTGGTGGCCTCTCCAGCAACAGTTGGACTTATACTTCAGCGCCCGCGCCGAGCTCAGGGTTGGCAGAATGCGAACTCAAGGACTCCGGATTCCAGGTTGGCGATGCGGGTGATGAGGTCTTTGTTGTATCTTCTTTGACGGTTGAGCCGTTGTCATGGCGGCGCTACCGTGGCAGAAATCGACCAAGACTGCGCGCGTCTGGCTTGCAAGCGCTGGCAGGTGTCGTCGGATTCGTCGCAGAAGTCACAGTTGAAAAGATACAACAACTAGTTCGGAGCTTGAGTCTTCAGCTGGCAGGGCGTGTTCTGGTCGAAAAGGGCAGCCTCGCTACCTCCCGTTTAGGCTTGAAGCCCTGGTGGACGTCAAGATTTTACATGAGCATTGAGGTCTCAGCCCTGAGTAGTTGGCGTTTGAGGAGGAGACCTCAGCTACTTTTAGACGTGTGTGGAACCTGGCTCAAATACGGCTTGGCTCGGGGTGTGCGGGTTGTATTGGCCTGCTCTTGACAGGTTTTGACTGCCTTCTCCGTGTCACGTCTGGGAGGATTGTACTTTCTGCGCAGAAGCTGTGGGCGCCGTGCTTCCTTCGTGGCAGCTGCCCAGAAATAGCCTTCGTTGAAACAAGCTCTTTGCGCGGGCCGGTGTTGGGCCTTCGAAGCAGAACAAGATGTCAACATTGGTCTTCCGCCTCCACACTAATTTAAACCCAATCCATCTCAGCAGACTTTGGCATTTTGTTTCATGTGCCGTTTGCAGCGTGCAAGCAGCCCTGAACCCAGTGTGGCCGAGAAGGTCGCAAGAGATATAGAAAGGCATTGTATCGCCCGCCGCGGTTTTCGGGTGGGCTGGTGCTGTGAGCTGGCTGTGCATGTGGTGGAGACAAATTGCTTGGTGCTGGTGCTGAATGCCGGGTGCCGGGTGCCGGTTCTGGTGCTGGTGCTATGAGCTGGCTGTGCACGTGGTGGAGACAGGTTGCTTGTCCTGGTGCTGGTGCCGGGCGCCGGTACTGGTGCTGGCGCCGGGCGCCGGTGCTGATGCTGGTGGTGTAGCTTGCGTATGTGAGGGGGTCAATTTTCGGATCTTTTTCCCAGATAGCAAAGCTATGGAGTTCTTACTTCAAATAACAATCATGAGAGCTGCCTGCGCGCGCTTTCGATTGCCGGTGCTGGTGCTGGTGCTGTGAGCTGGCTGTGCACGTGGTGGAGACAGGGTGCCGGTGCTGGGTGCTGGCTGTGCGCGTGGTGGAGACAGGGCGCCGGGTGCCGGTGCCGGGTGCCGGCGCTGGCTGTGTGCCTGGTGGAGAGGATTGTGTTCGCCGGATAGTGACAGCTATGGGCTATATGGGGTTCTTATTATTTCAAGCGGCAATGGGCTGGCTGTGCGCGCTTGCTGTGGTGCTGGTGCTGGGTGCTGTGAGCTGGCTGTGCGCGTGGTGGAGACACGGTGCCGGTGCTGGGTGCTGGCAGTGTGCGTGGTGGAGACAGCGGGCGCCGGCGCCGGTGGTGTGAGCTGCAGTTGCCGTGGCGAAGACTGCTGCGCGCGTGGTGGAGACAGGGCCGGGTGCTGGTGCTGGCGTGCCGGTGCTCGGCGCTGGCGCGCGCTTCTGACAGTGAAGTGATAACAACCGCCGCTTCTAACAGTGAAGGGTACCAAACTGCCGCTTGCAGCAGTGAAGGGCGACCAAGCGCCGCTTCTGACAATGAAGAGCCAGCGTTCAGGGGCCGCATGAACCGCGTGAACTTATGCACGCAACATCATGCGGTGTCGTCGCCTGAGCGTTCTTTGTCTATTAGCGCCGTGGGGTATTTACACTCTTCATTTTTTGTTTTGGCCGACAGCTGTATCAAGGGCTGTACTGTTTGCACGCATATTTTGTACGTATAATGTTCTACGCACAACATCAGGCTCTCAACCGACCATTGTGTTAGCGTGTTCCAGCATGCTACACACACAATAGTCGTGGATACTGCTTGGCCTTGGGCGAGTGAAGCCTACGGGCTTTGCCGTTTGTGCGCATACTTTTGTGCGCATACTTTTGTGCGCATGAACTTATACACGCAAGATCATACGGCCATATCGTTCTGCAGATCGTTGCTTCAAGCATGCTACAAAGTCAATAGTGGCGCTGGATACTGCTTGGCCCTGGGCTAATGACACTTACGGGCTTTGCTGTTTGCGCGCATACTTTTGTGCGCATAAACTTATACGCGCAAAATCATACGTTGTTATTCCCCAAATAGGGATAGCTACGGGGTTCTTGCTGCGAATAAGAATGAGCTGGCTGCGCGCGCTTTCGAAGGGGTGTCGGTGCTGGTGCTGGTGTTGTGGTCCTGGGTGCTGGTGCTGTGAGCTGGCTGAGTGCGCATTTAAGACGGGCGGCGGCGCTGGTCGGGTGCTGGTGCCGCTGCCGGTGTTGTCAGCTGGTAATGTGGATCGGTGCTGGTGTCAGCTGATTGTGCGTGGCGTGGAGGTGCCGTAAGCTGTTGTTCCAGCCAGTCGCATGTCAACAGGTCGTGGGACTCTGCCTAGCTATCTGGGTCTATGCTGGTGTAATTTTTTGATTGTGTACAAATAGATATATATATATCTTTATATATACAGTTTCGTATTTATATAGGTACTAAAAGAACATCTTAACTTCAACTAAGCGTGCGAATTTTGTGGACTGCGAAAGTGAAATTGATGCCAGCGCACCTTTCTAGTGTAGCTTCTCCTTTTTCTCGCCAAGATGACGCTGATTTAGTGCCACTCATTCCTGACGCAGGGCTTGGCCTTTCAGGGCTGCGGAGAAGTGCGCCAAGCCATTTCTTGTTACGAAGAGGCCTGGCGCGCTGTAGCCACTGCGTGCTAAGGCAACTTTACTGGTGAACGGGTGAAACAATATCGCAAGCTTCAGCGTGGGTGGGTCAGCGTAGTCGTGGTGGCGAGGCTTTGCGCTGTGATGCAGGGCATCATCCGTCAAGGCATTGGGCCTTGGTGTTGCCCGTGTCTTGACCAATCCCCTTCGCCCGTTGTCAACGCAAAATGAACTCGCAGCTTTCGATTCCAAGAATTCATGTGTTGGTCAAATCCTTGCAGGAAGGAAACAAAATTACAAAATCACCGCACCCCTGAAGTTTCGCGAGATTTTATGGGGGACTAGGACACGGTTGTTGCTATTGTTGCTTTTGCCTTCCCAACAACTCATGCCCACGTTCAGGTTTCACCTTGGCATCATGTACCATGCAGATGGACAGTATGACCGTGCCGCCCTTGGAGATGCGCTTTGGGTTGTCCCGTTGTTCATCTGGCTGCAAGCCGAACATTCTACATTACCTTGGTTCACCTGCCCGTGCCTCGCATTATTTCTCGTTATTTCCCAGATAGTGAGAGCTATTGGGGTTCCTTTTGCAAGTATAGGAAGAGGTGCGCGTGTGCATTCCTGGTGCCCGCTGCAAAGTGCCGCTGCTAAATGTATGGCTGTGTGGGCTTTGGAGCCTGTGCTTTGGTGCCGCAGCAAGGTGCGGGTGCTGGTGCAGGTGCTAGCGAGGGCGCTGGTGCTGGATCGGCGTCTTGTGGGGGCATGCTGGTGCAGGTGCTGGCGCGGGTGCTGTGCAGGTGCGGGTCCTGGTGTAGGGGGTGCTGGATCGGCGTTTGCTTGGGGCGTTCTGGTGCGGGTGCTGACGCGGGCGGTGCTGGTTTGGATCGGCGTTTTCTTGGGGCGTGTTGGTGGAGGTGCTGGCGCGAGCGCTGCTGGTTGTACGCCAGGCCGGGGAGGACATCGTGTCATGCCGGCGCGCGAGGGATGACATCATGCCGTGCCACGGATGACATCATGGCATAGCCGGGACGATATCCTTTCATATTGTGTCCGCGAAATGGATGTATTGCCTTGTGGTTGGCATGGTGTCATGCCAGGGACGACATGACGTCATGCCAGGGATGACACGCTGTCATATTGTTCATGACAACGTGTTGTTTCCCTCAAACGCTATGATTTTTTTCCCTTTACGCCGGTATTTGATCTGGGGTCTGTGCCGGTGTAATTTCAACTTGCTTGTCCAGAGAAGAACTCTTAATAATACACCTGCGTAGACACTGCGTTTCACTGTCTGTATGGTTCACAGAACAGCGACCTTAGACCAGTGCTTGAACGAGGATGAGTTTTGTTGGACAATTCCATGCAAGATCCCCTGAGGGTCACCCCGGCCGTGTGCGTTCTGGAGCTTGGGTGCTGGTGCCGCTGCAGGGTGCCACTGCCAGATGTTTGGTCGTGTGGGCTTTGGAACTTGCGTGCTGATGCCGCTGCAGGGTGCCGGCGCTATGGTGCCGCGGTCCATGCTGGAGTCGAGCATCCTTTGATCATAATTTTTTTCCTCCGCTCACTCACCTGATTTTAAACTCTCTGCAACCCCACCTGCTTATCAAGTATCGATGGAAACCTTTGCCCTTTGCGAATCATTGCACAACAAAAATGTCCACATGCAGGTTTTTTTGTTTTGCCAAACGTGTTGAGCTACTGAATCTGTTTTGCTCTTGAGTGTTTCTCTGAACGTGCCACCAATGCGGGAGCAAAGAGATGCTTCTAAACTTTACAATGGCAAGGATTTGATTCTTGTGTCCCACACATCGTCGATGACAGAGCTGATGGATGCCGTGCTTCGTATGTTCTGAGGTGCTTTGGAAGCCTTCAACGGGGGTGTTCCAGCAGATGAAGCTCTTCATGAGGCAGGTACTTGGAGGAAATGAAACATGTGTGCATACTGGCAACTCAGGCACGAGGCCTTGTCTACAGAGACATGGGCGACTATCAGCTCGAGACTTTATTGTTCTAGAAGAGCTGCCTGCTTTGCTGGTAATTCATGGCTCAGGACAGCGCTTGTGGACTTTGATGCAGTTATTCAGCTGGAACCACAGAAAGGAAGGCATGGGAACTTGATGTTTCAAACGCTATATATTCGTTGAATTTCTATTTTGGAAAATGGGTCTTGTTCGAAAGGCACTACTACAATCGCGGGGTTGTCTATCATCGCATGGGCACTGTCCTTGACGTTAGACTTTTGCTTTTGCTCTAGGAAAGTTTCCCGTCGTAGTTGATTTGTTCAGATTGGTCAGCGTTTTGTGCACTCATCTCAGGACGTGAAGAGGATGCGATTGAGGATTTGTCGAGAGCAATAGACCTGGGCAGCACCGAGGCGTATTTGAAGTTGACGAGCATAAATGTGTGACAACCTGGGGCAGACAAAGAATATGAGTAGGACTTACAGTAAAAGGAACGCTGCTTTAGACACTTGAGAACATCCTGAAACGTATCAGGCCGCTGTTTTCAGCGAGCGCGGACTGGCATGGAGATCTTTCGGCAACATGGCTCAGGCTGCTTTTGATATTGTATGATATTGTGAAAGCTTTCCGGTCAACTTGTTTAGCTGCTTAGAACTTATATGTTATGTCTAGTACTTGTACCAAGTTGCCTTTCCAGGCCGTGATCGACCTCACAGCTGCAATAGAAGCTGATGGCACCCAAACACTCTATTTGTCAAATCGAGGGCCGGCTCCTTTGAACTATGTGCATTATCAATCAGCACTTCGAGAAGCTTAATATATTCATATGGCTGATTTGCAAAAAGTCAGTCAAGTGCACTTGAGGCAATGCCTCTTTGAGCAGGGACTCTATGATAGGGCTGAGGCATTAATCAGCTGGGTGCATTTCGCTGCAACTGTCGAGCTTTGCCGTGAAGTAAAGTAGACTCTAGACCCTTCGCATGACGAATTCGAGCCGGGCCACGAGCAGAACCAAGCCATGTTGGTGAAGTTTCTGAATCTGTGAGATCTGTGAGATGCCTCCACCTTCCCACATCCAGGCTGATTTGAGTCGTGCGCTGCAGATCGATGGTCGTGATGCCGAATTGCTTTACAGGTGAGCCGACTGATTTTGATGCATGTTGTCATGTTATCACGAGTTGGCTTTTGAAGGGCCCCTGAAGGACTTAGACAGCCTTAGGTGGCCTTAGGGCTTGCACATCTAAGACTGCTCACTTGCTGTTTACTCTTGCTCATAGACTTATATTTTAGATCGAATCAGAATGCCTTAGAGGCGTGGAATCACGCGCTACGCGCAGAGACATTATGCTGAGCCGGAGACTGAGCAAGTCCAATGCCTCCAGAAAGCTGGACAAGAACTCCAACCTGATAGCGATGGCCTCCAAACTAATGGTGATGGCCTCGAACCTAGTAGCGATGGCCTCCAACCTAATGCGATGACCTCCATGCAGCAGCTATGAACGAGCTGAATTTGAGAATGCTTCACTTAGTGACTTAGTCTCAGGTCTATAGCTGACCTGAAAGCTGCATTGTCACAGGCCTTGCCGTGTAAGCACAACCAACTTCCAATCTATGTCGTTGCCAGGGGCCAATCGCAGGACACGAGGCAGAGGTGTACTATCATCTCGGCGCATGTCTTACTCGAGTCAACTTCAGCTGGTTTGGACCTCCAGATGCCTCACTCAGAGTCAGGTGTCTCCTATGCCAACTTGGGCAAGCATAAGCTCGACTTCTGGCTGCAATTTTGACACAGGCAGTGAATGAGCCTGCAATGCAACTGACCTAACGTCAGACTACTGGCAAGTGTTCCAAAGCAGAGAACTAACTACAACAACACCCATTTCAAACCTAGGCCGTGCCTGCGTACGACCAAGCCATGAGCCTCACTCGGGAGGAACGGCCTCACTATTTGCATGAACGTCGTGAACTCACAGAATGGCTTGGGTCTGTGGTCCAAATTCAAGACTCTAAGGTGCGAAAAGCTTACAGATAATTGGAGAGCTGCAAGCCTAGCAAGGTTGCCGGTCTTTTCACTTGTACAAGCCAGGCAAGCCACAGGACTTCTCACTCACCGTAAAAACATCCTAAAGTTGAAGTTGGCTGCCAAGGCACAAGAGAGCCTTGGACGACTTCTCGAAGGTGATTGACATGCAGCCAACAAATGCACGTGCGATGCCGCTTGGCCTTCAGAGGTCATTGACTGATTGGCATCAGAGTTTCTTGAACTGTCAGGTTCAGGCGAGCCTTCAGCTTCAAGGCCTGTTGCTGTATCAAAGTCATGAATTTGGTGCACAACCCACAGCTGCAATACTTTGCGTTCAGGCAGAAGGAATGTACGAAGCCGCAGCGGAAGATTTCGAGGCAAGAAAGTGTTCATTCAAGATGCAAAGGTACTGGCCCCAAGACATGCAGGTGCAACAATGTGACATTAAAGAAGTTTATTGAGAATTTTGATGTGTTTGGCTCGAACTCTTCTATCAAAGGCTTGGGTAGGATGAGCAAGGCCCAGGTGGACTGCCAGGAAATGCTCTCCAACATGGTCAGAGCTGCACTTCGAGGGTGATAGATAGGTAAAGTTGCAGATCCTTGCAACCAGCACAAGCCACAAGCAGAGATGAATGGCAAGAACCACCCGGGTCTGGGTTAACCTTGCAGTCATTATTGATCAGATGGCCGGCACGGCCCGGACTCAGAAACATGCCGAATTTGTTCTAGGCACTCTCCCTCACAACTGCAAGGCCGCCAAAGAGTTTGCACCAGATGATCCTCGTTTGGTGATCAACTACCGTAAGGCCATCTGATTGCAGACATGCAACTTGATGCTTATCAGTCAGGTGTTGCTGTGGTGTTTTGATCGGCGTGTGACACGCACACAACAACCCCTGAGACTAGGAGCTCCAAGTGGGTTCAAACAAGTCCAACTAGCAAGTGCATACGCGCACAAGCCCTCAAGATGCACCTTCACGAGGGATTTTTCTTGGGACTTCGCCATCCGCTTCTGTTTGTGTTCGATGCAACTTGCAAACGGCCGGTTCTTTCATTTCGGCTAGTGAGCTAGTGTCCCCTGATGACAAGAATCTGTAAGCGATCAGCAGTCCTCCCTGAGGTGCATTCTAGCACTTGGGTATGAGACACCCCGCTTTGGCTCACTGGCAATTTCAGGCCTTTCCTTGATATTTCAAGTTAACCAAATGAATAAGCTACTCGTAACAAGTGCATAGATACTAGTGACAAGGGCACTACTACTAGTAACAAGAAACTACTAGTAGCAAGGTGCCTTACTAGTAGTAACAAGTGCTGATTTGATTAAAGCTCTAACTTTGAACCGTGCAGTCCTTTGAACCTCTAACTGCGGTAAGCTGAACTTCCACCATCCGAACTTCAAGAACAGATTTCAGGTGTCTCTGAACCTGCACCTTCGACCGACCTTTGTTTACATACTCAAGTGCAACGGGAAATGAATCTCTGTGCGGGGGTGCGTGGGGGTGCGTTAGGGAATGTTGACTGCCTACACGTTCCTCGCAAATGCGTGTGGAAGGGCAGGGGAGGGTATGCTGGGGAAATATCGTATCCTTCAGGTTGAGGGAGCTGACCCCAAGGTTTCGTCCGCGGCTGATCCCCCTGCATGTCAGAGCACTTGGCTGTTTGGGTGAAACTTGATTTGCCCTCTGGCCCCTGGCTGTTCTCCTTCTTCCCCACAACTGGACAGGGTGTTGGCATGGTCTAGGATGTAGATGTGGTGCATAAGTTGGAGGTTGGGGGCATTCGTGCTTTGCAAATCAAGCAGTTGCTTCACCATCCTGGGGAGAATGTCTTGTGTTTGTGTTTGCTGTATGCTACTTCATACAACAGTGAGGAGACTACCAAGACCTACTGTTACACAAGCCCTTCCCAGAGGTTGCCGCCTCGCTTTAGAACGCGGATTTCGGATCGTTTTGGAACGCACGAAATGGATTGTATCGGAACGCGTCCGATGTTATACACTGTGATTTTGCGTGCTTCCACGGTTGCCACCCTTCCCCCCACCCCACCCATCAAATGCGTATACATGGATAGTGGGAATCGGTCTGTGTTCCAAAATGATCCGGGTGGCTTCCCAGAGGTCGAAAGAGCTCCTGGTATTGTAATCCGGTTTGCCTGTGGCTTCAGGTTGCACGTGTTTTGTGTGGGCGATGTTTGCTTGTTTAAAGTGCGTGGGTGTTTGCGTCAAGCTTGCATGGTATTGTCGTTGATGTGTTTGCCACTATGGATCACCATTTTGTGAGCGTCAAGTTCCGCATTCACTTTGAGACTGGATGTGTGCCATTCACCAAAGCTTTGCCCATTTTTGCCCCTCAATCAGCAGAGCCTGATTTGTGACGATTTGCAACACTCCGACATCAGGGAAAGAAGTGGGACATTTGTTTGTTTGGTCATGACAAGATCCGTTCGTTGGGTGGAGCAATTGAATGTTCAGACTTTCCTCACTGGCACTCTGCCTTGCCAAAGGCCAAAAGCATTTGGCATAGGCATAGCCCTGCAACCAAGAAGCAACTAGACGTGGCAAGTCACAGGACAACCAGGCCATGTGTTAGCAGCTCGAAGCCACACCAGGAAGTTTATGTTCACAAAACACACAAAGATTGGGTTTGGTGTGATGGAGCAAATCAGCTCGCGCACGGTCATGAATAGGAGACGGCGAAGCAAATCCCACCCTTTTCCACTTCCTACAACTCACCTTGGGAGATGGAGTCAAATCCCTAAGTCAAGTCAAAAGCAAAAACCGCGGGCGGGAGCCTCATTGTTTGCCCAGCCAAGCCTTGACTTTGCTACGCCGCACCATAAAAGTACTAGCCCAGAAAAATCAGATGAAGACTGCAGTTATGTAAGGAAGAAGCCTGAGAAGTGGGTTCGGGGTTGGGGACAATCGAAAATACAATACAAACTGAAGAACAGCAGGCAAAGTGAAAAGATACAGAAGAGACGGCGAAGAAGTTGGAGGCTGAAGTTGCAGAGACATTTGGTCTTCTTGGACCCTAGCGATAAGTTATTATATATGTTCATCTATCATGAGCGTACAGAGCAGTCACTCTCTCAAGTTTCTTGGCTCAAAAGGCCGGACGCGCATGCACTGGGGCGCTTTCTTGGACGTGCTCCGGGAATTGCGCTTTCTCCTCCCGGTGCACTCCTCGTGTGGCTGCCCCTGCACCTGGTTGCTGCTTGGTGTGGTCGTGGCCTTTTTGACTGGCTGCTGCTGCGGAGGCCTCCTATCGGCCTGCTTTCTTTCCCAAGCTTGTCGCAGGGCGTGCAAGCTGGTGGCCACCTTCATCCTCTCACACTGGGTCGAGGCAGATCCAGTGGAACCTGGGGTGGTAGCGCGGCGCAGGCTGGGGCAGTACCGTGTGCACGGTGCATGAGTTCACACGAGCTCAACGAGCTCACCATTTCCTTTGGAGGGCTCAACATCTGCATTGCGCGGGACGGAGGTGAGGCCGTTGCAGCATCAGACGAGACCGGCAGTCTCGGATCTTTTTCCTTAGTTGGAGCCCCTGGTTCAGGTGCACTTGCAGCCCTGGCTGGAGCACCAAGCTCTTCAGCTGGAGAGCTAGCCGAGCTGGGTGCCACTAGCTCAGCGCTCCTCGAGATCCCGGTAATCCATGCCTTCGGTTCTGCAGCCTGGGAGGCTGCCTTACTGGAAGCCACACCTTTCCGGGGCTCGTCATGTGTTTGGCAAGCTTCGGGCATCGCCTGGAGGTTGGTCACCTGCTGCTCGCGTTGGGCGCGCCTTACAGTGCGGGGTCTTGGCCAAGTACAAGCTTGGCTTCCAGCGGCAGCCTTCGGTGGCCGCTTGCGATTCTCCTCTCCCGAACAGGATCTACGTGGTGCTGAGGGGAGCTCCTGGCCGTGCAGCTGGGTGGACCGATCACTACGGTACGTTCAGGGAGGCCGTATGGGGCTCCGCTGGCCGACCGCGCGCAGATTGGTCGCCTCGTTCAGTCCCGAGCGGCGGCCATACCCTCTCGGCTCCCAAACAAAATGCTTCCCCTTCCGCTCGGGAAGCGAAGCCCTCACTGACAGATCAGGGCTCTCTATGGAGTCCGGGCGCAAAGTGGCGCCCTTCCTGGTCTTTTTCTTCGGTTGCCACCTCGAAAGAATGGCACAGTTTTGAGAGCCCAAAGCACCCTGGTTCGAGTCCGCCATGGAGGATTCATGATCGCCGCTCCAGATCTGGAAGAGGTTGCTCTTCTTCTTCAAGATCAAGAAGGCGAGACCGAAGCTGGCGGCGAGGCAACTGTCATCCATTTGGCAGATGTGGAAATGGAGACTGCTAATTTCATCTACGGTGCTACTCGTAGACTTACAGTATGTTGGGAGCTGGCGGATCTGTTCATTCGGGCCCATTCTGTCAGAAGTTCTCAAGCCTTCGAACTGCTCAAGTTCAGTGTGGACGATCAGGCTTGCCGACCTCGCAGAAATTCCCTTTTGGCCGCTGCCGAATCCTGGATCAGCCAAGCTATGGACGAGGATGCAGCTGGCGACTATGCCACGGCAGAGGATGGAGGAGAGGCAGATGCACTCCCCTAAAGAAGAGGCTCGCAGCTCTGGAGGCACACACTACCAAGGCCCTCCCGCGGCAGCCCGATCTCTCCATGCGTGGTTCCTTGAAAGCGGACTCTCCAGGTCCGGGTGGGGTGCTCTTCAGTGTCTCCGGCCCTCCCAAGCCTTTGGAGCAAGCCTTGCAGCGGCTGCAGCAATTGGCCGGAGGAGCTTCCAGTCGTCTTGGTGCTCACGAGCGACTGGCTCGCGAGACCCGGCCCGAACAGATCCTGGAGGCCTTGCAGCAAGAGGAGGCGCCGGAGGCCACATCTGGTCTGGAGTTGGAGGAGGGCCTTCAAGAGCTGGAGACAGCTCAGCTGGATCCCATGCAGCGGATGATGTTGCTGCAGATGAAACAAATGCAGATGATGTCAAAGCAGGCTCAACCTCGCCACTTCGATCCCATTCATCAAGCTCTAGGAGGAGCTGGCGCTTCGGAAGCAGGCAGCTCTGGAGGGGGCATCAAGGGGTGTCTCGCCCGCGAGGCCTACGAAGTGATCCAGCGGAATGGATTAGAGGAGCTGGGCTTAGATGTCATGCAACCTCATCCTGGCCTCATGCGGGATTGGCAAATGGCTGGGAGATCGGGTTCAGATCAGGAAACAAACAACTGCCGGGTTTCTGCTGCCGCAGCCTCCTCTATGTAGACCAGACGGCCAACGATGGGGGCCGCGCTCATCTGTCCTGGCTCCTTACCTCCCATCCGGAGCCAAACTATGCCCTGACTCAGAAGAATCGTGCCAGGGTAGGGATGGTGCCATTCAGCAGATTAGCGCAGGCCAGCTGGATCTCGGCCGGTGTGGCCTAGTTGAAGGATCTGGATTTCATCGAGACGGGCATCAAGGCCACTGGACAGACCACGACCCAGCCACATCCGGCCAGGGAAAATCCGGAGGATGCCAAGCCTCGCAAGCTCTGGAACAAGAAGAAGGGGAAGGAGGATCCAACCTCCTCCGCCACAAACTGATCAAGTATGATGATGACCACCCGCGGGGTCAGCTGCACCGGTGCCCTCCTTTGCCGAGTTCTACCTGCTCAGAGCAGCAGGGGTGGACCCTGCCTGCTTCAGTCGGTCGGGGAGGAAGCCGGGGCAAAGCTGACAAGGACGCGGAGTGGGAGGCTTCACATCCCATCCGGGAGAGTCAAGAACAGCCCCAGCGAAGGAGACAGGCTGACGACCTGATGCCTGATTTTGGAGTGCTTCCCGAAGGCACTTTCCTTCCTGAGGGAATTCGGTGCACTGAGTTTTTCAAGGCAGCCATGCGGGTTGCCTCTTCTCAAGGACCATTCGCTGCCTTCTTCCATCGCAGCATGGTGCCTATCCGCGCTGATGCCAGACCACGTCACCGGTCTGATCTGTGGCCCTGTCCTCCCCCGTGCTGGGGGTGTTGGACACCGCTCGAGAAGCTTTCACCGAAGCGCAGGAGGAAGCCTTGCAGCATCTGGTGGTAGCTCTTAACTGGCTCACGCTGGGACAGACTTCCTTTCCGCCTGAGAGTGCTCGCAAGGGCTTTCCGATGAGCCAGCAGCAAATGGACATGCTGGATTACCTTGACGGCCTCGTGGATCACTTCCTACGAGCCGGTGAGGTTAGTTCCGAGAGCCTGGGCAGCGCTGGTGAAAAGCTTTCTAAATTAGCTAAGCATGCTTTTAATTTGGACCACCCATCTTTGAAACTCGATGTTCAAGATGTGCAGAGTTTTTTGAGTGTGCTTCAACGTTCGTTTGATAGCTGGAGCCATGTCCGGGATCTCAGTAGATGAAGCTGAGCTTCAGCCTGCTGTCAGGGTTCCTGTTGGTTCTTCCGGTTCACGCCTCCCGTATAAAATGAAAGCTTGCACCCACTTTCGACCCCAGTCCTTTTCTCAGTGATCCCATAGTCAGAGAAGCGTTCCAGAACCCTGACACGCTTCGACGTCCAAAGCAGCAGTGGCCGAAGCTTCCACGAGCAATCGTGCACGCAGCCAAGACGGATATTTTGGAGCTGGTGAAAAGTGGGATGAACGGGGTGCTTGCAGAGTCGTGGCCGCTTCACAAGTCGCACCCATAGAGACCGTTGGACTGTTTTGTGTCCCCAAGGATGCAGAGTGGGATCGCCTCAAACTGAACCCCACCGTGATCAACTCCAGGTGTTACGGGTACTCCTCCTACACCAAGACTCTTGCACCAGGTTATTTGATTGCTTCTATCCAGTTACACCCCGATGAGAACTTGCTTATTTCCTCAGATGATTTATGCGAGTTTTACTACACTTTCAAGGTCAGTGCACGAAGAGCTCAGCGGAACGCCATTGGACTAGTTTTTCATGGCAGTGAGCTCCAGCACTTGAAATGGTTTGACCCTGCCCTAAGGGATTCGCAGTGCTATATTTGTTTGGGGACATTGGCAATGGGTGACGCTTTAGCTGTTGAGATTGCCCAGCAGAGCCATTTCAATCTTCTGCGCACACTAGCAGGAAGCATGAAGGGTGATGAAGTTTTGCAGTATAGGCTCCCTTGTCCTAGAGGCCCTTTTTATGAGTTGCTCACGATAGACGACCATATAGGCCTCCAGCGTGTCAAGCGTGGCCAACCCCCGGAAGAACTTTGTCAAACCCGAGCTCATGAAGTGTTCGCTGCCTCTGAACGGGCTTACAAGGAGGTTCAATTGACCGCTCACCCTGGCAAACGACAGAGGCAGGTTGAACACGCCACGGTCTTGGAGGCTGAGGTTCTCGGCTCCAAGAGCTCGCATAGCAGCTTTGTGTTTCATCACAAGTGTCATTATAAAGAAGGGCATCATTATTCGCAGACTGTTACAGGGGCTCATAGGTTGTTGGACCCATGTTTGCTTGTTCAGGAGGCCTGTATTTGCAATTTTTGACAAGGTCTATCATGAGGGTGAGAATTTGGACAATGATGTTCTGTTTAAGATGTCTTCCTCCACCATGACGGAATTGCTTCTGATGGTCCTGTTGGCGCCTGTGATGCAGTCGGACTTGAGAGCTGCTGCAGCACCGGCGGTGTACATGCTTGACGCTTCACCGTTTGGAGGGGGTATCTGCAAGGCCGAGATGCCAAGTCAGGCGACAGCAGAGCTGTGGCGGCATACAGAGCAAAGAGGCTATTACACAAAGCTTCAACAAGGGGCCAGTATGGCTCTCCAAGAGTTGGGATTTGAACCGGAGCCATCGTGTGGGCACGAGCAGAGCGTTGAGCAGAGCATTTTTCCTTCGAGCAAAGTTGGACCAAGTACTTCTTTGCGGGACAGCACCATCCTGTACGACTGCATAGAACTGTTTTCTGGGTATGGAAACTGGTCGCGATGTCATGCAGAAGCCGGACTAAGAGTCCACCTGGAGTTGAACGCTCAGCTACAGGGGAAGCATATGGCGACCTGTCTGACAAACAGACCTTTCTTGCTTTGAGTCGGTTGGCTTACAACGGGCATATCCGAGAGTGGCATGCCGGTCCACCATGTTGGTCTTTTGGGACGCTTCGGCACCCCAGACTGCGATCAAAGCAGCAACCGGAAGGGTTCAACATGCGTGACCCCGTGACCTGCGAACAGACCTTGCTTGCAGTGCGTACAGCATTTCTTCTAATGTTGGCATTGAAAAGTGGAAGCTTCATTTCATGCGAGCAACCCGGTGGCTCAGTTATGTTCGAACTTCACGCCTTTAGGGTGTTGGTTGAGTTGGGGTGCTGGATCACAAAGTTCAGTTTTTGCAGCTACGGTGCAGGTTTTCAGAAACTCAGTAAGTGGCTGCACAACAAACCTTGGTACGTTGCTTTAGAAGGTCCTTGTTCATGTGCATACAAAAACAGGCATTTCACAGTGCAAGGTTCTTTTACAAGGGCAGCTTTGGATTTGTTTCGTAGCAGGTGCAAGCCAAACATTGTTGAAGTGTATGGTCGTGAGCCTCGTGTTGGCGAACCTGTGAGCAGCTTCTCAGCATCCTACCCTTTGCCTCTCTGTCGCATCATGGCTGCAGGCAGTGCAGTGGCACACAAGGTTTCTGGAGAAGGTGAAGCTGTTCAGATGCCTCCATCCGCTCCGGTTGATGGAGGTACGGACGGCCTGAGACCATGGCACGAAGACCCAGAGTGGATCGAAGATATTTGCGAGACGGTGACCTTCCGAGAGCTGTTTCGATATAAGTTCCACCAAAGGGGCCACATCAATTGTTTGGAGTGCAGAGTTTACAAATCTTGGTTAAAGCACTGTGCAAAAGCGCGCCCTCGATCTAGATTGGTTGGACTGCTTGATAGTCGCGTGACTATGGGGGCTGCAGCGAAAGGGCGGAGCAGTTCTCGCGCGTTGAGCAGGATCTTGAAGTCCTCTCTCGGGTACGTCCTCGGTGGAGGCCTCTACCCTGGAGCTTTACATTGCCGTTCGGCTTGGAACCGTGCCGATGGGCCTTCAAGAGACCAACCAGTGCCAGGCCCGACTCGGCCTGAAGAGCGCTGGATTACAGATCTGAAGTCCGGTGACTTCCGAGCTTTTGATTTGCGTTTTAGGTCTGCTCTCTGGACGCGCCCCTTGGGGCGCTGGGTGAGGCTTCTTTTGTTGATTGCTGGAGACGTCGAGCGGCATCCAGGTCCCTTGGACAGTTCTCAAAGACCATACACACCTCGGGGTGAGTTGGACTTGATGGGCGGGTTTGCGCGGGCGACCTCCTTGAGAATGAGGCGATGCCTCGAGTTGTTTGCTGCCTGGTGCGTCAAGGTTGTAGGTTTGACTCTTGAAGAAGTTCTTTCACAAGCAGACACCACAAACCTTGCACTTCGTGGCTGCGGATTGTCTTTATTTAGGGAAGGCAAGCCCCGATATCTCTTGGTGTACGCCATTACAGCCATTCAACAAGTGAAGCCAGAGTTTCGCAGACAGTTTTCCGGCGCGTGGCAGGTCGACTTCAAGTGGCAGATCGAGGAACCTGGCCAATGCCGAGCAGTGTTGAGTGCGCCTGTTTTTAGGGCCATCTTGGGACTCGCGTTGTTGTGGAAGTGGGATTGTTTTGCAGGAGCAATTGTTCTTGGTTTCGGGTGGCTTTACGCCGTCGTGACATTGTGTTCCCGCAGGATGCATTAATGGGTGATTCCTCTTCCGTTTACGTCTTCATTCGCAACCCCAAGACAGCTCGATTTGCACGGCGACAACATGTCAGAATTGATGATCCTTCGTTGACTCATCTCCTCTTCTGCTTGTTCCAACACCATGAGTTGGAGTCGATGTTGTTCCCCGCCTCCATTGCTGTGTTCAGGCGTCAGTGGAACGCATTATTGGACAAGTTGGAGATCCCCAGGAGACAGAGTGATCGAGGGGCAACCCCAGGAACCCTCAGGGGTTCCGGAGCGACTCATGAGTATACGCAAGGCTCTGATATAGCTCGCGTACAGTGGCGAGGAAGATGGTCCAGGCTTCGCACACTCGAGTATTGCATACAAGAGGTAGCTGCGCAGCTTTTTCTCTTCACTCTGTCTCAGCGTGCAAGAGAGGTGATCTCTTTTTTAGAGCAGCATTTACACCTTGTTTTGCAAGGGCGCTTTCCTAAGGAATTTTAGCAAACTTGCGGAGCAGGATACTAAGGTTGGATGGAGCTTGACGAATCCTTCCTGCATTGAGCATTGACAGCATGCCTTCAATACATTGCCTTGCAGAGCATTGTACATTGTCTTGCAGAGCATTGCTGGCCAGTTGTGTTGGTTGGTTGTCTTCGCTCCGTTGACCTTTTGGTGGCCACTAGTCAGCCTTAACATAAGGCCAGGGAACTTAGTGATTGCGGAAAAACAACAGCGGCATGATAGTATATACATAATCCAAAGTTGGGCCGGTGCGCTATTGCCAGAACATCCTTTCTCTATATTCTTTTATAATTGACGAAGTGCAGCTCCGGAGTTCCGGACTTTCAGGAAGGACAGACATGGAAGTCTGTAGCCCAAGACTGTGGCAAAGCACATCAACTTTACACCAACTGTTAGGTGAGCATTGCCTTTTTCACAAGTCTTTTGCCGTTGCGGCCGGTGTGGTGCGGTGTTGCGTTGCAGTTGGGCTTGAACCAGTTGCACAGATGGTGTTCTTGTCCGCAAAGGGTATATTCTTTCTGATGCAGGTGTACGATGTGGCTTGTATTTCCCTCGGACCTTGCGGACACGAGGACAGGGCACACGTGCTGCTGGTTTCTCAACTTTCTCAAGTGCATATCATCATAGGATGTGCCAAGTATTCTTGTGATATACTGTACCTTGCTTGAACCCACTTTCATTTTTTGCCAGAATCAACTCTAGGACCCGAACGTTAGTACAATGTAACCTCGCAAGATTGTGAGGGCTGCCTGTTTCACCTGCAAGTGTCTCACCTCACAGATGCCGTTCAAGAGGAACGGTGCCCATGCCCGCGCCCCTCATTTGTTGGCGCTCAAAGGAAAAGGTTGGACAAACTGCTGTCCGTTTGAGCGGCTTGGCCTCAAGTGACAGTCGAAACGACAAATATCTCGCAGTTCTACTTCCCTGAGGTGCTTTACTTTTTCCACCACTTTATGGGGTGTGGGTGCCAAGTTCGAAGCTCCAATACTTGGCAAAGAGCACAGAGCGAAGGAATCATATTTTGATTGCATCAGACTCTGTATTTGGACTGGAAGGTAGCGGTTCCAATCATCATTAACATCCTCAAAAAGGATAAAGTGTCGGATCCGATGCATTTCCAGGCAACGGTGAAAAGTGTTCTTGCATCCTTTCTTCAGTTCAGTGCGCAACGACTCAGCAACTCGTGATATCTCGTGACTGCTCTTGGCCCGAGCCCAGCTTTGCAGTGACTGCAGTGATGCGATGGCGAAGTCGCTCCTTTGCAGTTGCGCTATCTTTGATCACCTGGCACTGTACATGGGCCATGTTGCCTTCGCTGATTGTTTTTGATTCTTGGATTTCTGAAGCAACCAAGCTGCTGCAGCTGATGGTAGTCACAGACAATCTTGAGACTATATGCGCACCAAAAGCTCTCTAAGCCGGTTCGCGAGCGTTGTTTTGCTAAGGGGTACCCTTTCGCGACCCCGCAGAAAAAACATCTTAAAATCGATATTTTCCGTTTTTACCGCGGATATGGTATTGAAAAAGGGAGCGCCCCCGGTCAAAACGGTAAATAAAGAACATTTTCGATTTTTACCGTTTGTTTCTTGCCGCGGATACGGTAGAAGAAAAAGTGCCCCCCCGGTAAAACCGGTAAACACACATTTTAGTTTATTTTGATTTGTGTTGTTTTTATCGCGGATATGGTATTAAAAACGGGAGTGCCCCCCGGTAAAAACGGTAAACACATAATGTTTTTGATTTTTACCGTTTTTGCCGCGGAGATGGTAGAAAAGAAAAGAGCGAGTCCACCTGCAAAAGCGGAAAATAACACAACTTTGATTTTTACCGTTTTTACCGCGGATATGGTAGAAGAAAAAGGGAGCAAGCGACTCTCCGTTAAAAACGGTAAACAACAAATAGTAATTGTCAATTTTTACCGTTTTTACTGCGAGGATGCCTCGGGAACAGGTCGCAAGCTAGAAGACCTCTGTAAACAAACAGGTTTAATGTTACAGCCCTTTGGTCTCTTCCTATATTCTGGTGGGGTTGATCCCTCCTATCATATAGGAGCGTGTGCCCTTTTCGACAAGAGGAGTTTGATGTTTGATCAACATTTAAAAGACTTTTAACTTTTGCAAGGTAATGAAAGCCTACATCACTGATTGAAAACTTTTGATGTTTACCGTGTTTATCGCGGATATGGTAGAAGAACAAGGGACCCTCCGTTAAAACACGGTAAACAAATAATAGGACCGTTTGCCCCCGGTAAAAACGGTAAAAACAAAAATCACTTTTTACCGTTCTAACCGCGCATATGGTATTGAAAAAGGGAGCGCCCCCCGTTAAAAACGGTAAACACATAAATTTCGATTTTTACCGTTTTTACCGCGCGGATGCCTCGGGGAACCCCGTAACGCGAGCAACTACGCTAAACTGCACAAGGAAAGCTCTCCGCTCATTGAAATGCTTGAACATGTCTTATATATATATATATAGTATATTCGATCTAACTTTAGGTCGTTGCCATTAAGCACTTTCCTCGAAGGATCTGGATGCATGCCTTTGGTCACCAGAAATGTACGAGTTGAGCTCACCTCCATCCTCATACTGCAGCAAGCGCCGTGGAGTTGCCGCAGGTGCACAGACAGTGACTCGCACTCAATTGGAGCTGCATGCCATGCTTTTATGTTGTTCTTTTTCCCGCGCACCACCAGTCAACAGGCATGCTGCTGGTTCTAAAGCCTTTGATGGAGCAATGATTCAAGCAAATCCAGAAACCGCATCTAGGTACGACTTTTCCCTGGTGCTGAAGCTGTCCTGCGCAGGCTGGCAACTGACACTGCCTTTGAAAAAGTTCAGATTGCTGTGGCATCGTCAACAACGGATGCTCAGATTCTTCCCATCCTGTGTATACGATACCCTTTCTCTAAGAGACTTGCTTATATAGCTTCTATTCTTTCTGCCAATCTACCCGCAAGCTTTGCAGTGACTGTCAGCCTAGCGTGCTTGCATGCTGCATCACCTTATCACACCAAGGAGCCTGCATTCGCAAAGAAATGCCTTGAGAGTTTTCCCCTATCTGGCAGCAAGTTTGTGACTATTGACGAATTGGTTCGATTCAAGCAGATCTATCCTGGAAGATGCTTGGACTTCAAAAGACGGTATAATCCACAGAATAGATGACGTGGTATTGTCGTGGATTAAGGCAAAGCAGCGCATCACTTTCCAAAGCTGAAAGAAGAATCTGGCATACCCTATGATGAGATGATATTCTTTGACGACTGTACCTACAGTGACAATTGTGCTGATGTTGCTTCACGATGCCATGGTACTACATGTATGCGCACTCCATCTGGCCTCACCGAAGATGATTTCGAGCTTGCGCTGTCTGCTTTTGCTGCTGGGAAGAGAGGGGTCATTTGATGCCTCTCGAAGTCTCACAAACCGAATACACGCACGCACTGAGTCACAGCGCCGAAAAATGCAATGTACTTGTTTTCTTGTTGCATGGAATGTACTTCCATCGATTTCCTTGGCTCTGCATCTTTAGAGGCCAAGCTGTGGCCAGCACTGAAGCCTCTATTCACAGCCAAAGAAATTCCAATAGAGGCGATGTAAGTGTTGGACTGTCAAAGATTTGGTTGATGGATGTCGAAGGCATGTGATTTTTGCTTGAGGTGGTCATTCTATTCCTGAAGGAGCTGGATTTGCTGGTTGGTCTCGCACCTGCAACTGAGACCCAGGCATCCGGTGTTTTGCGGAAGCAAATTAAATACGGCTGCATATATTGCTGTTTGCATTGCTTCGACCGGGAATGCCCGCACGGGACCGGTGGGGAAGAAGAAAGTCACGGATGTGGACATCGGGTTATCAATGTATCCAACCTGTATACGTGCTCAACATCCACAGGTCCACATCACTCCATGTGTTGCAACACCCATACAGACAGACATACATAACTTACTAACTTACATACATACATGCGTACATAAGACTTAGGCAAGGGATGCACGAGTCTGTTTGGTGGAAGCTGAGTTTTTAGGGTCCATGGATTCAATTTGCATTCAACAATTATGCGTTTAGGGTATATGGCTTAGGGTTTTTGGATTTAGGCTTCATCCATCCACCCATCCATCCATTCATACATACATATTTGACATGACATGGCATGACATGACATGACATAACATCACATAACATAACATGACATAACATACATTACATATATACATTGCATACAGTACATACATTACATGCATACATACATGACATGGCATGACATCACGTCACATGACATGACATGACATTGACATTGACATATACATACATACATACATACATACATACATACATACATACATACATACAGTGAAATTGTGCAGACATGCCTCACGGCCTTATGGCTATGATCAAGTGTAGAACTGTTTCACATGACACGATACCGCAGGCGCCTTGGGCACAAATCTGTCGAGTTTGGTAGCGGAGCCTAGTGCTCCGTTGCCGATCCTTCCAGCGCCGCCATAGGCTGCTTGCGCTCGGCTTGGCTGCTACCGCGGGTTGCGCGGTAGGCTCTGGTCTGCAGGGCCTTTGGAGGAGGAGATCGAGATCCTGCTCGGTCGGTGGCAAGAGAAAGTCAGAAGGCTCTGACTAGGACACAGAAAACTACCTCACTTGGGGTTGAACCCAAGAGGAACACAGGCCCCGTGGACTCCATCGATTACAAGATTGCTGGACTATGAATCCACCAAGCTCTGGGAGCATTCCGCTCCAGGAGTATCGGCGGGACATTCCGCCGGGCTGGATTCCAGGTGATGCTTCGTATCCCTTGAGGACCTACTTCGACAAGCTGAAGCTCTGGTACCGGATTGCCAATGTGGAGGATGAAGCCATCGGTCCACTGGTGGCTGGACGACTCTATGGTCGAGCATCCACGATCGCCATGTCTTTGAGAGTGCCAAGGCCAGACGGCACCTTCGATGTCGGCGATGCAGCGCTGGTTCGACTAGCTGTGGATGAAGTCCGCGACCCAGCGACCAATGCGATCATCCAGAACCACATCCCCTCAGGAGTGCAATTCCTGGCCAACGCACTCCGCACGGCATTCGGTCAGCAAGACCAAGATCTGGCGACACAAGCCCTGGACAAGTTCTTTGGCCTTGCAAGAGGAAAGCTCAGCCTGTCCGAATACAGCGTCGAGTTCGACAGCCGGTACGATGATGCTCATGACAGAGCTGGACTGCAGCTGAACGATGTCGGCAAGTTCTTCTTATGGTTCAAGAACTATGGCTTGCCATCCAAGACGGTTGATGACATCAAACTGCAGGTTGCTGGCGACTACACCCGCTTCAACGACGCTCGAGCTCTGGCATTGCGCATCAACCCTAATCGGCGAGAACCTGATGACGCTCAGATCCTCTATGAAGAGAACGATGAGTCCTATGGCGACTACGACGCCTACTACCAGGACTGGGGCGATGACTATGAGGCCGAGGATTCATGGTGGTATGGCTATGAAGAGGCCAATGAAGGTGAATGGGTCTATGAGGAGTACGCCAACGATGAGACCTACTATGAGAACCATGATGCCAGCGATGAGTCATGTCCAATGTCTCGGGCGAGTACAACGAAGCCTACTACAAAGGAAAAGGCAATGGCAGTGATGACGGCTGCTTCAACTGTGGCAGCAAGTTCCACAGAGTTCGAGATTGTCCACTTGGCAAGGGCAAGAACAAGAAGGGCAGCCACAACTACAAAGGAAAAGGAAAGTCAAAAGGCTTCTGGAGATGGCGACCCAACTTCAAAGGAAAGAGCAAAGGCAAGAGCAAGTATCCTTGGAGAAGCAAAGGCAAAGGAAAAGGAAAAGGCTTTGGTCGAAAAGGCCACTACTACGCCTACCAGGAGGAGGACAACTACAAGCCTCGTGGTGGTCTGTCGATCAGTGAAGGCATTCCTGATGCCTCAACTCCGCAAGAAGTTGCCACAAGCTCCAAGGAGGTCAAGACGGCCAAGAGGGCCGAGAGCTTCGTGATCCACACGTCATCCGAGGATGAGGACTTCAAGAAGCCAACGGATGGATATTCAGGTCAGCCTGAGTATACTACGAAGGATCACTATGACAAGAAGCTCAAGATGAACTTCATGGTCTTCAACATGAAGAAAGAAGAGACACAGATGAGCTACCAACTCTCGGAGAGGTCACGTTGACCATGGCGACCGCAGGACAACCCATCACCTACACGGCGGAGGTCATCGGTGGAGCCGGAAGCCTATGCCCAGCATTGGTGGGCAACCCGACTCTTCGTCGATTGGGTGCATCAATCTTGACAGATTGGTTCGAGAATGGTGATGGCATGCTTGTTCTGAACACCAAGGACGCCATGGATGCAGAGGTCAATCACGTGAAGTTCTTTAGGATCCTGCTCACAGATTCTGGACATTACATCCTGCCTTGTGACAACGTTCAGAACGAGAAGGTTCCAAGAGCTTCCAAGCACGAGGCCATTGCTTTCTTCCAGAAGATCACCGAGATCACTTCGAAAGTTTGGCCTGACGTGCAACCACGGGTCAGACACTGCTTCCATTCCCAGACGGCGGCAGAGGATGACCGGTGTGATTACAATCGTGATCATGAACGAGACAAAGATCCAATGAAGAGCCAAGGTCATGATGTTGGTTGTGATCATTTGGCTTGCGAGAATGGAGAAGAAGATGAACTACGTAATCCTGTTCCTTCCAGGAAGATTCACTTCATCGATGAGGAACAGCAGAAGAAGTCCGAGGAGCCCTACGACCTCATGAACAGCGAGAAGAACAAAAGCCTATCACCAATTGCAGAAGAGCGCGACTCCGAGGACGAAGTTTCACCATCAGCCATTTTGGCAGAGCAGTGCATGAAGAACGACAAGAGCAAAGAGCCTGCGAAGAATTCAAACCACTTGATCAACGAGCACCCTGCCGGACCTGCCATTTTGGCCCCGGCAATTCATGATGAACAAGGCCTACGTGAGGCAAGCTATGATGAAGAGAAGAACGTCTTCCTCAGCTACACTGGCGACATGATCCCCGAGACGGCAGATCAGGCCAAGTTGAAGAAGCGCTACAAGGCAATCCCTGAGGAGTTCTACACTAAGAGCGGATTGACGCCGGTGACTCCCAAGAACTTTGACAGCTGGTTCAAGAGAGTTCGAGGACGAGGATTGCGATGGCACTTCTGGGAGCTGTTCAGTGGCAGTGGAAGATTGTCGCTGACGTTGCTTCTTGCCGGACTCATGGTTGGCTTCCCCGTCGACTACCGGTACGGCTGGGACATGCGAGTAGCAAGCCATCGTGGTATGATCCGCGCAGCTTACGAAGAGTTCCAACCTGGAGTGCTTCATATGTTTCCGGACTGTGCACCATGGTCAGTTGCGGCATCTACAAAAGATCCTGATGAGAAGATGTGTGAACGTCTCCAAGATCGACCTGCCCTACAACTATGTCAAGATCTTTCTGCACGACAAGATGCCAATGGCCGTGGCTACAACATAGAACAACCTTATGGAGCACAATCATGGCAAGAACTTCCAGAGAATCCTCTACGACGGCAACGAATTCCTGGCAATAAGAGCAGACAGAGAGTGGACCAGTGCATGCATGGAGCTCAAGATGAACACGGCTACCCCATCATGAAGCCCACTGGCTTTGGATCCAACATTCGTTGGAAGCACACTGGACTTCGATGCGGAGGTCATTGCGGTGTTCCACATACTCAGCTCAAAGGCACAGGCCATTCTGGTCTGACCAGGACTTCGATGTCAGCAGTCTACCCAAAAGGAATGTGCCAGCGCATGAAGCAGGACATCATCCAGTACCTGTCCTACATGAACCTGCTCAAGCTGAAGACTTGGCCACAGGATGCCTACGCAGTGACGCTTGGTCACTACTATGATTGTGTCCGATGTCAGCTCGGACGTCATTGTCCTCGCAACATCGAGCACACTTTGGTGCCTGGACAGTGTCGACATGGACGATGGCCATCCGAAGAAAATCCACGAAGAAAGAAGAAGCTTGAAGCTGAAATGGATGCCATGAAGAAGTGGAAGCAAGAAGCCGAGGCGGAGCTCTATGAGGGCGTGGAGATCAAGAACCTCCCAAGCAAAGCGCTCTCCGTGCCGACTACACACATGCTCAAGAAGCTCCTCCTCGAAACCATCAATGCCACTATGGGTGTCTTCAATGAAGCAGCAAGAAGGAAGATCGACTATGTTCACTGGCTGGACAATCCTATGCTCATGAGCCTCTTCAAGGAGTTCTTCAAGGACCTGATCCAAGTCAAAGGAGTGAAGATTGAACTCCGACCTTTCCATCTTGCATCAGCAGAGCCGAAGCTTCCATTGACATCATCATACCTACGGATGCAAGTGAGAGGCAATGTGAAAGCATGGGACATTCACCCTCCGGAAGATTTGCGAGAGATGAGTTTCAGCCAGATCAACGCAGCACT